ACTTTAGGGTTGGGCTTGCGCTAATATAATTTATATATGTATACATGTTTTTTGTTTTATATATAAAGTATTTTATATATATATAAAGTCTCGTGTTTTTTTTCTATATTGTATAAAAAATAGGGAAAATTCTCCATATCTTGTCAAAATTTACTACCCAAACCTTAAAACGAGACAATCTAGTACTTCAACTTTTCATTTTGTGATAATTTACTACCTTGTCAAAATTACCTTTAAATACTGTTCACTTTCACACTGTTCATCTTCTTCTTCACAAAAAGGGTCCGCTATAGGAACCGAAGAGAGTAACAGAGGAGTTTCACCACTGCAACTCCTCTGTTTCAGTACCTCCTCGCCGTTGAGGAGTGCATGCTCGACGAGGACCTACCTTTGTTTTTGCATAAGTGGGTACGTCGCGCTGCATGGGTCGTCGATGTAGGCGAAGACGTACTTGCAGTCGATGACCTTGAGCAAATCCTTCTTGTAGAACCTGGATGGGTGAAGCTCCCCGTTTACGCCCATGGTGAGAACCCTCTTGGCCACTTGGCTCACTGTTTTCTTGACTGTGCTCTTCAGTATCTCCTCCAAGTGCCTCAAATCGATTGCTTGGCACAGTGCAACCATGTATGTTGCAGACATGAGCTTCAGGATGTCGACGGCTTCGGCTGTCTTTCTGGAAGAGATCAAGCCCAAGGAATTGACGTCCTGGTTGTGTTGCTCTGCACTCTAGACGTGGTTTGTGACCGAATTGGCGAGGAACTGGAGTTCAGAATAGTAAGCAGCCATGGCGAACTGAGCAAATATGAGCTTCCCAATGGAGGCAATCGCCAAGCGAGTGTTATCCATGGAAATGCCAATGGGGTCCCCTGGAAGTTACCACCGTGGAGGGCCTTGTTCCTCGACACATCGATCAATGGGTTGTCGTCATTCACGGAGTTGATCTCCCGCTCGATCATCTTGGTCGCCGATCTGATCACTTCAATTTGGGGGCCCAACCACTGGGGAGATGTACGGAGAGCATATATGTCTTGCTTGGGCTTTTGGAGAGGTTCAATCTCGTGTATCTTCTGAGCTGCCGAGATTTCGTCCAAGATGTTCGAGAGGTTGGAGAGGATGAACAGTGGCGGTGAACAATAGTTCGAAGGAAAAACCGGGAAGGATAAGGGTACCTATCAGCCTAAAAAATATTATAATTTAACACTTACAATATATTACATAAATATATAAAATAAGGCATATATATAATATGATATATAACATAAAATATTTTATATATATATATATATATATTTATTATTTTATACAAAAAAAATTGTAGGTCCGAATTCAAGACTTTATGTTTCAGGCTTTGGAACCCAGGCTGGGCTGGGCCGGACAAAGACCTTGACTATAGCCATTAACACAGGTGCAAAACCCAACTCGAGTACAGCCCATGATCACCCCTAGATTTCATCCTTCTCGGGTTTAAAATTAGTGAGACCGACTTTGGATCTCCAATATGGTCTCAGATCTGATTTGCTAGAATAGTAGATCTTGGAACCTATAAACTTTATAATTAAAGATGGGAGTACAAATACAAATGGGTCCGTTAGTGGGTCTGTACATATTTGTATTTATATATTACGTACCTAACAAATGGGTCCGTTAGTGGGTCCATTTATTTAGATGTGGTTTAAATTGTATTGAATGTGCCTAACATATTTATATTTAGATGTTGGACCATGCATGTAGTAGATAGCTACATGAGCCCATTTTTGTAAAAGTTGTTATTAGTTTGTTCCTTATTTATGGGTAGTTAGTAGTAAGAGAGAATGTCATGATAAGTCACCTATGGTATGGGTGTATGAGTCTGTGAGAGTTGAGTCTGTATATATACTTTCATTGTTCTTAGAGAGAATAGCAATTGAAGAATTTTATCCTTAAACTGTTAAGGTTTTTATCGGAGGCCTCTCATCTCCCTCGAATTAGACGGAGTTCTCGTTACATACAATTTGAGACCGTAACATTATACTCCTTCCAAACCGAGTCTAAAGCTCCATTTGGAAGGAGTATAAATACAAATATGTAGAGTGCAAAACTTTATATTTTATATTATTTTGTATAAATTTATACTATACATATTTGTATTTATACTCCTAAATTGAGCCTAATGAATTTCAGCATTATAATTAGACGTGTTCATGGGCTGGGTAGTCCAACGGGCCAGCCCGGCCTGATCCGACATTTTGTATTTTATTGTAAACCCTAGCCGATTAACCTTTCCTATTCCCTCTTTTCATCTTTTATCTTTCTCTCATCATTCTCACTCTCAATAACCGGCGTGAATTCAAGCAAACAGCCACTGTTCTCAGTCTCAGAGGTGATAGGCAAGCTCAGACACCGGACCTCTCTCTCTCTCTCTCGTCTCTCTCACAGTTCTCACTCGCACGCACTCTTATATTCTCAAGTTTCAGGAACCGGCGAACTTAGGCATCGGCGCCAACCGCGCCACTAGTGAACTCAATCGTCCCTCTCTCCGGCGGTGAATCTTCTCTCTCTCTCCACCATTCCTCTCTCTCACAGTTCTCATTCTCATGCATTATTGCATATTCTTAGGAACCAGTGAACTCAAGCATCAGCGATGGCGAATTCAAGCACCGGTGCCAGCTGCACCACCAGTGAACTCAGTCGCCCTGCATTTTAGCCTCTTTTAATTCAGGCTTTGGGCTTTTTATGAGGGTCGGGCTCGGGCTCGGGCCTGAAAAAATCTTGTTAATGAAAAGCAAAAGCCCGGCCCAGCCCGACCCATGAACAAATCTAATTATAACATTACTGATGGCATTTTCATGGGTCAAAGAGAAGGATTCGATTAGAGAACTCGGAGCCATCCTCAAATGATGGTTGCTTTAGTTAGCCATCTTCCTTTTGGATTCCCCCATATGGGGTCTTTTTGAAGATTAAAACTGATGCAGGGTTAAAATATTTGGAGAGGCTCCTTTGGTGTTATAGGGAGAGACAACAACTCCAAAAGAGCTGGCTGGTAATGCCGTGTCAACTTTGGAGGCTGAAGCTCTTGCTATCATGCAGGGTTTGAAGTTAGCCCTGGGAGCTCACCATTTTGTCCTCACAGTTTGATAACTTGGAGCTAATTGCATCTTTGCATAAGAAGAATGTACCTTGCAATAAATATCTCATTTTCCTTTTGAACAATATTCCCCTGCCTCTCGTAGGCCTTAATTAATGTAACCTTTCCATTTGTTAGAAGAAGTGCAAATGAAGTTGCCCATTGCAAAAAGGTTTCACTTTAGATCAAGAGTGATTCAGACTTCCTCATGATTAGTTGGTGTTAGTGTTGTCTAGAAATGCACTGGGCCCCACCATAAAAGTAGGGTCCATCATGTGTAAGATGTGTAGTGTCTGATCATGTTGAAAAGGTGTTGAAACCTTTTTTATTGATAGGTGATCTAGACTCTTTCGAATTCTGGACTTCCTATCTACAAGAATTCTACTCATGCATAATAATATTAATGTGTAAGAAGATGAGATGTTCTTCATGTGTAACTGCCACTATGTTGTTACATGAATAAAATTATCGTGAATAGGTAGTCGGACTCAGTTTTTTAGCACCATATATTTTTCCATTTACAATAATTTCCCCACTAATACTTTCCTATATCTATCTATCTATCTCTCTATATATAATATAATATCCAAACAAAGTCAACCGGTTAAAAGCTTCCCTATTCGGATCTAACACCGTATATTCTACCCGAAACTGAATCCATTAATGCAATGTTTCTTATTTTCACAACCCATATGAATTCCCCCCTATTGCCATCCTCGTCCCTTTTGGCAATGTACTTTCCTCAAATAACGACTATTTTTTCTTGTAACCCTGCTGTCACGACAAAGATCTTGTCTCCATACTTTCCTTTCCACGATCCACGAAACCGCGCTCAAATCTGCTGCTTTCGTGGTCGCATGTGAGCCCAATGAAACACATACAGATCAGCACGTCAATTGAGTTTGAGTTCTGAGAGATTGAGAATGAGAGAGAGAGAGAGGACCGTTTCGAGAGTTGAGGTTGGCGATGAGAGAGAATCTGAAGGGCGAGGCAACGATGATGGCGGTTGGCGACGATGATGAAGGTTAAAGGAAGATTAAAGAATTGAAACTCTTCTTTGAATATCTCTTCTCTATTCTTTGTCGAGATTCGAGTATCTCTGTCCTTTGTCCGATGTCTAAAGCGATGGGCGAGTGGCGATAGTCAATGGCGACGGTCGGTGGTCGACAAATCGACAATGAAGATGAACTGACGAAGGAAAAGAAACCTAGGGTTCTATCGAAGACGAAAACAAAGACGAACCGGCAAGCCTTTTACTGTTTAAGTGTTTTAAAAGTTTTAATCTTTAAAAAAACAAATAATAATTATTATAATATATAATATGTATAATTATATTATGTAATATATAATATAATATTATATTATATATATTAATCGAGGACGGGTCAGGGTGGGGATTGCATTTCCCGCCTCCATCCCCGTCCCCGATCGGGGATTCAGGGGTAGCTCCATCCCCGACCCCATCGGGTCGGGGAGCCCGGGTACCCGTCGGGGACGGGAAAAATTGTCATCCCTACGTGTGTCCCTATTTCATGCGACCACGGTCGTAGCAGATTTTTCTTCCACGAAACCGGTCACTCCACCCACCAAAAGCTTTATCATTCAGCCTTCCGTCAAGCCGATACAACAACCCGAAGCTTCCGCTTCTTACTCCTTGAATCCGACCTCTCTACATTTATGCCGTGTGAGTTACCTCTAAATAACAAATGCCAAATAAAAGGTAGCGATGATGGGTACTAAGAAGATCCCGATGGGTACTAAGAAGATCCCGATCTGACGATAGAGGATCTGTTAAGACCATCCGACTAAACAACACATTACCGTTCCCTACGCCAGTGATGGTCAAAAACTATATATATGCAACGATCAAAGGAGATTTAACAAGTCAGGAAAGGAGACTGACGAGACTTCAGAAGTAAAATAGAACCAGAGAGAGAAGCTACGATTGGTTGAGCTTTGCTGTTCGTTTTGTTCTTCTCTGTGGTCGAGCTCTGGTTTTTGAAGCTTTCAGGGTCTTTCGCTTCATCTTCCATACGAGATTGCTGCTGGGTGTTCTTTCAATATTTTCTGCAGTTTAGTTCTCTGTTACCAAATGGACGGAGAAGCCCATACACAGATTCATCCTCCCGGTTAGAATATCATGACGAAACACTGTTTCTTTTCATTTCATGTTTGTATTTTTCTTTTCTCCGTTGTGGTTCTTCTCTGGGTTATGATTTGTTCGTTAATGGGTTATTTCTGTTTTACGTCTAATTGTTTTCTGCCCTCCCTGTATGAGATTTCTGATGGGTTAGTCGTTTGGCAGAGAACGAGAACGAGAACCATGTCTTCCGGTGTCACAGATGCGGTTGGCCTTTTCCCAACCAGCATCCGAGCGCCAAACATCGACGGGCCCATAAGAAAGTTTGTGGCACTCTCGATGGGTACAGGCTCAGTGAGTCGGAACGGGGAGACCCTGGTAAGGATTATGGGTTCATTTGGTTTAACTGCACCCTTTCTGTTCCATTTTAGATTGCCTTTGAATGATTGGACTGATCTCTCTTCTATTTTCGTTTTTCATCAGAATCCCCGACTAATACATGGAGCTTAAAGCAGTGCGACCCAATTGAAAGCAACGAAAATAAAGATGCCGGAACCGAAGAGGATGAATTTGGAGATGCGGTGGCAGAGTCTACTAATACGGTGGCTGCTCTGGCAACTGCATCTATCGAAGTCGAGGCTGCAACTGAACCAGTTGAAGCTTCGGGTGAGATATTTTTTTTCTTCTTCCGGCTAAAGAATAGGATGGTTAAAGCCAATTTTACAGTTGCACAAGTTTTTGAGTCAAAGAGAGATTAGTTTTCAAACACAGTCTGTTTCTTTAAACAATTCTTTGCTCTTGGAAATTTTGAAGGTTGGTGATTGAACAATATATGTTTGGAAAGAGTACATATACAAATATGTATACTGTAAAACCTTGTATTTTGTATGTATTTGTAGTGTACAATGTACAAGGTTTTGCACTGAACATATTTGTATTTGCACTCCTCCAAAACTAAGCCTAAAGAGCGAATTAACACGGGAAAGACATGGCTGAACAGAATTTGATATAGGTTGGGTATTGATGTAGGACAGGGTAAGTGTGGGCTTTGTGGGGTAAAGGAGGGGCTTTACCATTGACCCTCTCTGGTTCTCTCCCACCTCCACCAACTTTGAGCCATTCCTTGGGCTTTCGGAGAACTCCGACCACCATTGACACCATGCTCCTACAATTGTAATTACAATAAGTTATCATAAATAGTAATTTCAAAATAATGGTGAATTCCTGGAAATTTTAAAACCTTGTTCTTAAGTTACCTGCAAGTAGAAAATAAATTAAAAAAAAAAACTCAAACAATACCAACATCCTATCACCCAGAAATTCTGAAATTGGTGTAGAATTTGGAAAGCTGATTTGTTTCTCCATGTATTCTCCTTATTTCCAAATCTGCATCAGGTATGTGATGTAAGTATGTGGGATTTTTTAGATATATGAACATTCATATGCCGGTATTCTGTATCATGACTTTTTTTGTGGATTTCATTTCCACTGCTATTATTCTTTTAGGATATTTTCTTATTCGTGTTCATAGTAGTAATTCTTTGGAGTAGGGGAAATATTTCTCCAAATTATTAAAATAACATATTCAAGTTTCAGTTTGGTAAGATTGTTTGAAATTCTGGCCTTGATTGCTGTTTCTATAAGCTTTCAAATCACATTTTCTACCTAATTTAATTTGACTTTGGGTTTACTAATAAATTAGGATAAATTAGATATTGATCTTAAGGTATCTTTTAATAACAACTTTATCCAATGATTTTGCTACTGTTTGCACCTGGATTCATGTTAATGTATTAAACAGAAATCAATCTCTGTATTTTCCAATAGGAAATGATTTCAGAATCTAAACATTTTTGGAGGGTAAACTTGGTTCTAGGTCATAGATGTTTTTTTTTGCTTTTTTGATTGATTAGGTCATAGATGTATTCCCTGTCACCTGCTTGACCTTAATAAAAGAAAGGAAAGAACAAATTATATTTTAGAGTATATTTGCAACCTCTCCGTGAATTGCACTTGATATAACCATAAACGGAAGTCACTGATGTGAAATTCATCATTTGAGACTTGTATATTTAGTATATTCAAATTTGTATGGATGTTATTGTTTTGCATTTTACGTTTTTTTGAGTTTACATTGGATTTTACCAGAACCAATACTCCGAACAAAACTGAAGCATGTTCTTTATTTTCAGGTAACAATACTGAATTCTTACCTATTGAGGCATTGGTGATAACCGAGGATGCAAGTGGTTGCACTTCTGCCCTATCCCCAACCATTGCTTCTTCTGAGAGCAATATCCAGCCTGTTAAGATTGTCATGGACAACTCTAAGGTGTGTATTGGACAGGAAACATACAATTTACAAAATGAAGATTCCGAACGTGTGAATCTGATTAATAATTCTGTTAAAGTGGGTGATACTGAAGGAGAAGTTGGAGTTAAGTCTGATTATGAAGGTTCTGAAGTAAGTGAATATCCATTCAAAGATATCCCAGCAACTTCAGTTCCAGGTGGAAGTACTGCACCATTACATATTGAAAAACTGAAGATAGCCGAGGATGAAAAAAGTTGTTATTCTTCCACATCCCCAACACAATTTGAAGCACCAAAAGCAGGTCTTGGCAAGACTGTTGAAGACCAAAATGAAAAAGGAGAAGTAAATGAAGATCCACTTGTAGAGATTGGGTCTGCTTATGAGACTGTTGAATGCCAGAATGTAAAAGCAGAAGCCAGTGAATATCCATCCAAAGATATCACATCAACTTCAATTTCAAGTAATAGTACTGATTCATTACTTGTTGAGACAATGGAGGTAACCAAAGATGAAAAAAGTTGTGATTCTGCCATGTCCCCAATAAAAATTGAAACACCAAGAGCAACTCCCAATGAGACTGTTGAGGGTCAAAATGAAAAAACAAAAGTGAATACGTATCTACATGCAGATGCGTTGAACTTCAATAGCACCGTGTCATTACTTGTTGAAAAGTTGGAGATAACCAAGGATGAAAAAAGTTGTGATCTTGTCAGATCCCCAATAGAATTTGAAGCACCAAGAGCAGCTCCTAATGAGACTCCTGAGGGTCAGAATGAAAAGGCAGAAGCAAATGAACTTTCACTTGCAGATACATCTGATTTCAGTGGGTCTTTAGCAGCTTCAAGAGCTACTAACATGGCTCTTGAAGGATCAAAAGACCCAATGAAACTGGATATACCTTTAACCTCTGGGAATGGCGAACTCATAGAGGAAAAAGGAAATCATAATAATGATTCTATTTTTAAGGAGACCCATTCATGTCAATTGGTAAGTAAGAAAGACGAGGGCTTTGATGTCACTTCTTCAGCTGAGCAAGCTCTGAAGGAGAACCTTCAACAAGAAAGAGGGATTGCTGACACAGTCAAGGATTTATGTGTTGTGCAAAAAACTGATGGCTCTGAATCCAAGGCAACAACCAATGAACTCAATAATAGCGTGAAGAAATTTGATGGTGGAGATCCTACTAATGATAATTCTGTTATTTTGCAAAATGGCAATGATAACAATCTGCTTAAACATCAATTTGGCTCCTTTGACGTTGCAGCCTGTAGGCTAGGCTCTATGCCAAGTATTTCTTTTCTTACCACAGTTGTTTTTCAAAAGCTAAAACTTCCACACTTACTTTTGCCTTTCTTTCGCAGCTCTTTTTCTAAATATTAGATGTCTATTTGGTAGTTGGCACTGATATCTTTAGATTGTGTAGATGTTGCAGTTGATTCTAGTAGCCTAACAGATAGTTTGGAAGGCCACTGTGGCTCTGTTTCTGGTAAGTTTTCATATATACTAGAAGTGACTTGTTGGATGCACAGATATGTGTCAAAACGCCCCATATAATTAGATTCAGTTCCCTATAAAAGAGGAAATTGAATTGGTTGTAGGTAAGCTTAAGTAGATTCACATTTGATTTTCTTTTTAAATTTTCAGAAATTAAAAAAAAATAAAATTAAGAGCAGTCCGAGAGATCTAAGAGGACTTGTAACATCCAACAAAATCTGAGTCCAATCTGAAAAGTTCTAGCTTCATGGCCTTGCTGCCTTATCAGATCTAGATTCAGATTTGAGTGGATCCATATCCAGTGCATTTTAATATAGCCCAAGCCAATCTAACCCCTTTATCCTGTCAATGAATCTATATGGGTTAGATCCAAATATACATCAATCCACTTTTACTCAATTGGCTTTATAACTAAAAATCTTACCAATTATCAATGTTTTCATCCTATTGGTAACCTGACAGGTATGACTAGATAACCAGTCACCTAGTGGTCCATTTGGTTGAACCATTGAACCATTTGACCCAGCCAGTGGATCATAGATTAGATATTAAATCCCTTTTGCTATATTTTTAGCCTTTTCCTTCATTAATAACAATAATCCTCAGTTACTACAGTTACTTATGATGAATATATAATATTGGAGACATGGGCAATTGTTCTATTACTTTTGTATTTTTCTGTTTTTATATTTTATTGTATTATTTATGATATCATGGCATGGGCCTAGACAGTTGAACCACTGACCTGCCATGGACTAAGATGGTTGAACTATTGACACGGACCCAATCCTTTTCTGTATAAAACATAGATTGATGATACCCTCATTATTTGTTTGAATTAATTGCTTTAGTGTATGTAATATTTAGAAACATAAAAATATGGACTACTTGATTGTCGCAATTGAAAGTTAAGGCCCTTTAGTTTCACTACCCCCAAAGTACAGGGTACTACTACCTATCTGTAATTTTCCCTAAGAATTGTTTGCATTCACAAACAGAGATGAGCCAAATTAAGAAATAGGTCATATTTGATATTCCAGTTAGGGAAAAGTTCAAAAATACCAAAGGTCCATTCCCACTTTTTATGGTTGCATATAGGTATTAATTATTTGGAAAGGAATATTCACGATATATCGTGTATTTTCCCATTCCATTGTATGCTTTTAAAATTTAAACAGAACCTAGCCTAAGTCAACATTTGATAACTATTCTAATTGATCGATTAATTTTATTTATCTATTATTGTTAGTTTTTATTTATTTATTTATTCTTTTCAGATAGAACACTTGCTTCCACTAGAGATGCCATGGAAGAGATGAACACACCTGTTCAAGCACAAAAGGCCAACCAAAAGAACATTGGCACTTCAATTGAACACCATAACGAAATGGATATCTTTGAGCCACCTTCCTTTATGACCTTGGTTGAACCTACCAAAGCAAATTACCAAAAGAACATTGCATCTGGATGGTTTCCTTCTCTTAATCACATTGAACATGAGACAAAAGGACGCAAAAAGAATGAGCACATAATCACTGAAGTCACCAAGAGCACTGGGAAACCACATGGTACCTTGAAGAACCTTCTTACAGAAGCAAAGGTCAAAAAATATCACAAGTACTCACAGGATAAACAGGTAAATTTTACATCTTCTGGAAATGATACAATGTATGCTGTTGAAGTTCACGATGTCAAATTAGATGGACGGACGGAGTTGAATCGTCCTCAAGCATTTCAAGAAAATAAGAGAGAGAAGAATAAAACTCAAGGGAAGGCATCATGGGCATCATTTTTATGCTGTTCATCTATTAGTTAGATCAATTGCTCAGAGGTGCCAGTGTCAACATTATCAGTTGTTAATGTAAAAAGATAAATTGTTTTGTGCTCATGCTGGGGCATTCTTCGGAAACAAACACACCACACCTTGATCTGAATCTAGTGTCAGACTAGGATTTGTCAGGGCAGTCCCCGTAATTGACCTCTCACAGTAACATTGAGCAGAAGAGAATGGTGAAACAGAGAACTCATATAGCCGATCCTATATACTCGGGACAAGGCTTTGTTGTTGTTGATGATGATGATGAATGTAAGATGGGTTGTGTCCTAATGTATATTATATAATTTTGTTTTTCTTTTCCTTCACATGATTGGTGACATTTCTGGTCTCTGAAATTGCAACATATTCGTTACTTGCAACTAAAATTGTGTACCGTAATGGATTTTTTTTCTCAAGGCTGAGTTTGGAAGGAGTACAGATGCAAATATGTAGAGTGCAAACAAAACCTTATATTTTGTATTATTTTGCATGTATTTACGCTGCACATATTTGCATTTGTACTGCTTCCAAACTGAGCCTAAGCTGCATTTTGCACGGCACTCCATTCCATCCATGCTACACGCATAACTCAGCAATATCCATTACAATTCTTTTCGAATTTGTATAGTTGAGACCATGCGAATTGTGAGTTAAGTGCAAGTAGCGGTTTTAATTAGATGTAGGAACATGATTTATAACTGATTTTAGTGGTCATATTTCGGGTCAAATACTAAGAATTCGGAAGTTTCAAATATTAGGAATATTTGATTTGAGTAGTCATGTTTTGGGTCAATTATTTGGATCAAATGAATATTTTTTTCATTGGCAGAATTTCAAATGAAGCACAGGTTGTTAGAGGTTGATATAAACCGAGTCTTGGGTGTTTTGAAAAACCTGGATTGTCCCACTCAAGGTGAGAAACCCAGAGTCCTTCCACAGAGAAAGGGAGTCATTGATGGGTCGGGCTGTTAATGGGTCAGGTTGGGTCGGTTTATTGTTGTTTTTTCAACCGACTCGGCCTGGTCGGGTTGCCTGAAAATGAAATTGAAATCAACCTTGTGTTAGGCAAAACCAGCTTGGTCGGTTTGAGTGCTTGAATTGAGGGGCTAAGAGAGTAAGGGCGGACCAAGTAAAAAAGATACCTAATTGTAATTACCTATTTGGTATAAAGGACTTTAAAGAATAGAATATTTTCTTTAAACCTTCCAAAAAAATGCAAGAAACTATTAATGGCATTAATGGCATTCATTGTCTTGCAATACCTACCATTAATGGCCTTCCTAAAGAGAAGACTAGAAAGTAGAAACTATAAATAAGTTAAGTACTAACTACTAACTAGGAACTAAGTCAGTTCGGTTTCGGTTTTCTATGTGTGAAAATCAAAACCGAACTGACCGATGCTAAATAAAACCCGGCCGATTCGGGTTGGTTGGTTTGGGTCTTCTTATGAACAGCCCTATAAGGCTCTCCTAACTCTATAAATAGGTAACGATCCTAACTCTCCTCGACTAGAAGTTTTGCACAAGCAAGAGAGAGCAATAGAGAGAGTTGAAGATCCCTCTTCAATTTTGATTTGCAGAATACGGGAACTGGTAGTGATGGAAGGTAAGTCTCCATCTCCCTCTCTAAGTTATTGTGTTCTCTACATGTTAGACATGGTTTCGCATCAATATGACAATATTTAGAGCTTATGGTTGGTAGTTTGGTTTTGAATGTTGTTTAAGTTTCCAGACCAGTTGATCGTTTATTTGATAGTATAAATTGTTCCAAACAATGTTCTTAAAACTGAACCGGTCAGGGGTCCGGTTCCCAGGTTGAATGGTCCAACAGTTCGAACCGAACAAACAACCCATTATGACAAAAAAATAAAAATCGGCCAAATCATTGAATGGTTTGAATGGTTTGACCGCTTGAGCTAGCAGTTTTCTGACCAAATCAATGATTTTTGGGAAAATAACAGTTTTGGGGTAAAACTGAACCGGTCACCCAACCGGTTTTCGTTTTTTCTGGTCTGACCGTTTGGTCTGTCCGGTCTTAAAAACCATGGTTCCAAATAGTTTAACATTGATCCAAAGCAACTTTTTTTCAAGTTTTAAAAACCGAGTCAGACAACGAACTAGTCAAGGGTTTGATTCCTAGGTCGAATAGTCCGACTGTTTTGAACCGAACAGACAGCCCATTCCAACAAAAAAATAAAAACCGGTCAAAATGTTGAACGGTTCAATCGACTGGGTCAGCAGCTTGCTGACCAAACCAACGGTTTTTGTTGAAGAAATAATGGTTCTGGGGTAAAACAGAACCGGTCACCTGACCGGTTCCTAGTTTTTCTGGTCTGATCCAGTTTTTAAAGTCATGCTTTTTTTTTGGCATAAAGAACAAGTTTTAATTACCTGTCAGGTTCCTTTTAATAAAAAAAAAATTCATTGATGTTTGCTAGAGCGTTAGCTAGCCTAGCGGCGATTTTAGGATGGTTGGACCCATCGATTGCCAATGAATATTCCTGGGTGGTGTTCAGTGACTGGAAAGGTAGTATAACTGGAAACTAACCCATCCCTGGGCTGACCATACTTGTTTGATAAAAAAATTTTTTAGTCTTTGGTCGCTGGCTACCGGAGCAATGACTGGTGGTGTAGTGGCACAAACAGAGTCTCCGACCACCAATGATCAATCATGGGTGGTCCGCGGTGGCCGAGGACAACAGTATAAGTGTCTGCAAACCACCCTTATGTAACAAGTGTTCTCTTCGCCGCGCCATCAAGTGCCAACCATCGTGCCTACAGCCGCCACTCCAGTGTCCAAGTGTGTGTCATGGGTGGGCTATGCATGTACTTTTGTATGGGGGATTGCCAATGGAATTATTGTAATACTGTAGTATGATTTTTCACCTTTTTGATGTTTCTTATTGTCACTCCCCCAAAAGCTTAACGTACTCTTTGAGGGGAGGTAGGTGGTCGAGTGAGCTCATAAGCGTGTAAAGGTTAAGCACGAGATCCCCTYGACACTRWACTGTGTGCTTGTGCTTACCACTGATTAATGCAATACAAATAGCCTTTTGCTAATTCGTGTGCCATCTTATTGCCTTTTTGTGTGTGTTTGCTTTGTTACGTAGGCTTATTCGCCCTTTTCGAGTGCCGCACGGGGCCCTAATGATTATCCCCGTGACACTTAGGCACACCGAGTGGTGCTCCTTTGCCGCTCTAAATCCAGTTTGACCCGAGTTGCCGAGTTAACCTGGTAAGTTCGTCAAGTCAAATTGGCGAATAAACCCGATGAGTTATGAGTTGTGACAATTCCAATCGTTTTGACCCACCTGATTCAGTTTGATAGTTTAGACTGGTTTGGACCAGAACTGGCTCAAAGCCTTCTAGGGGTTAGATTCCAATGAAAATTGGTACCCTAGGGCTTTTCAACCTTCTGAATCCATCTGTGTGGATCCCATACCTTAATTCACACGGCTCAACCCTAGTTTAGTGAAACTTGAATATTTGACTAGCTAGTTTAGGGTTTTTTCAAATCTATTTTGACCCAACTTTTTCCCACAACTTTATGACAATGTATTCTATGCTCTGGTAAAATTTCATGGATTTATGAATTGATTTGGGCATTTTACTAACTTTAATTGGTTTAGGAAATATTTTTAATATCAGTTTGCAATTTTATTGCATATTATTGTGATATTCTCCAAAGTATGTCCTTGATATCTGATCCATGGTTCCATATTGTGATACATGATTGTTTGCATCACCTTTACTATGAATTTCATGTATGTGTATATATCTTTGATTCATTCAAAGAATTGAATCGCCTTATACAATCCCCAACATTAAAGCTAAAGAATCAATTTTTGGTCTTCTTCCAAGTGGCTGATGACTCAGAGGCCGAAGTGGAGAACTTTTTCTAGATGAGGACCAGGATGCCGAGCTGACCAGGCCGAACTGCCTGTGAGGTGCCGGGCTGACCAGGTGCCGAGCTGCCTATGAGGTGTTGGGCTGACCAGGTGGCGAGCTGAATTGATGAGCTTTGTTGCTCTTTAGAGATCTGCAAGGAACCAAATGTCAGAGGACCCGGTGTGGCGATCTCGGTGAGGTCGCTCCGATGCTTAAGTCAGTACTATCATAGTAGACTACGAGCTAAAAATCACAAAGTTTGAGAGCTAGAACTTGCTTACTTGCCCGCCCCCTTGCCATTGGGGTTGGTGCCTTTATATAGGCACGGTTTGGCGTGGGCTTCACGCACGATATCCGAGATTTCTGCGAGGTTGTCTAAGTGGTTCGAGATTCTTGGAGGTAACCGCCATGCACGTTGACCACCCTCCAGATCGTTCAATACGTGGACCAACTTCTAAGGATCGTGGAAATGTTAAGATATGCATGCCAAATTTATCGGTGAGCATGTCTCCTAGGCCGTCAGGCCGCCAGGTCGTGCCTGTGCCAGGCTGCTAGATCGTGCCTGTGCCAGGCTGCCAGCTTGTGCCTGTGCCAGGCCGCCAGGTCGTGCTTGTGTTAGGCTGCCAGGTCGTGCCTGAGCCGCTAGGTGGGACACCATCAACTTATCTAAGGCAAGTTGTTGCCAAAGTGATTCCAGGTGTCACCTAATTGTTTTGAGGTGCCATATATCATAATATCATTGGAGGGCCAAATCCACCCTCATCAAAAACCATTTGAATTGGAATGGGTGTCTAATCGTGACCAATGTGGCACATTGATAAATGCTATTGTGGTTCAAAGTGCATTTGATAATCACTAAAGTAAGGGATTATGGTTTGGCATTTGATTAAGACAAATAATGATCAAGCCCAAAGGTGGGTCATTAAGATTGTCCAGTCAAATGGGTTGGGATGGTTAATGTAGACAGTTTGATTGAGAAATATCTCATGCCAAGTTGTCTATAGTTAGCTAACCCCAAAGGTCATAATTCTTTCACTAATGGGAGATTGACATGTGGTAATCTTGGCTTAAAGGAGAGATTATGACGTAGACAATTGATTCCATTTAAAATTGATGGTTTTGAGGCATGCTCACTAATTTCGGAAAGTTTAATTGACATCTCCATCAGTCGAATTGTTCCTTTTGTGGCTTATCCTGATGTATATTAGAAGGAATCTTCCCAAATATATCACAGGGTCTATCCCCATTGGCCAAAGAATATCTTCACGTCATCTACCAAATCATCGGCCAATATCAGTCAACGAATCCTTCCTGATCCACTTCATTATGACCTTTATGCCTGAGCAATTTTACCTCTTCAAAACTACCTATAATGCTTAAAAGAAAAAAAATGGAAAATGATAGATTTAATCAGCACGTATGCTCAAGAGGAGGAGAGAATCCGGCAATACAAACCTGAGGGCACTCGTTTGGCAGTTCAAGG